CAGCCACTCCGGCACCTCCTTCGCCGCCAGGGCTGCAGCGTCTCCAGGTCTCTAGCTGACCGGCTCACCTGTGGCCATCACCCAGAGAATGCTTGTGTCATTGCTGTTTGTTGGAATATATAGAGAATATTCTTATTTATTTTCTGTGGGAGCGGGGACGTGACGAGGAGCATGCATGGAAGCAGAGGCAGCGTCGCACCCGGGGAATTGCATGCAGCCTTCGCCGCCAGGGCTGCAGCGTCTCCAGGTCTCTAGCTGACCGGCTCACCTGTGGCCATCACCCAGAGAATGCTTGTGTCATTGCTGTTTGTTGGAATATATAGAGAATATTCTTATTTATTTTCTGTGGGAGCGGGGACGTGACGAGGAGCATGCATGGAAGCAGAGGCAGCGTCGCACCCGGGGAATTGCATGCAGGGTGCTGACACCCAGCCCCGACCCTTGATGAGCTGTAGATAGCAAGTGTAATGCAATGGCAGCTGTGTCACATTTACCCACAAGCCCAGATCCCCGAGGGATACCCAGGTGTCTGGAGGGGAGAGGAGAGGCAGGAGTGTCTTGCTGAGAGGCACCAATTCCAGTTGTAGAAAGGCAGAGCTGAGCTCAGTTCAGCCCGCAAAGAGGACAGCAGCCAATGTTCCCTCTGGCTGAGCACTTGGGCGGCCCCCAGGAGAGATTCAGGTGCCACCCAGCTCACCGCTGGCAGCATGTGTTTCTGTTTGTGGTGCATATCTGCTCTTGCCGCCGTGCATATAACAAAATTTCTTCCACACATGAAAAAAATTAGAGGGAACACTGGCAGCAGCTGCATGAAATAAAAAGTGTGCAATACTTAGCTGGATCCCTGAAAGTGAGCAGTGCCACAAGGGGGCGCTGTGAGAGCCGGGGACGCTTCACCTCCTTTGACTTTAAGAGCAAAATCAAGTTGGTTATTGTGGAGTACAGCTGGAGCAGAACCAGGAGGGGCATTGTCTGACTGCAATGGTCTCTTGCATTGTACAGTATTTATGGTTGTTTTTTAACTAGTTACCTTTATATCCCCAGCACTTAATTTATGTATTTAGCTTCCAGATCCCCAGTCCTGAGTGGGGACGGGGAGCAAAGAGGATCGTGGGGGTTTACTCACTTAGCGAGACAGTACGAATCCACTAGGGCCATGCTGCCAGCCAGCTTGCACCAAAAACATCCCAGAAGGAGAATGCTTTCCTGGCAGGCTTTCCCCCAGGGCTGCCTGTGGGACTTACAGGGGCCATGATGAGGCCTCAAGGTGGGTAGTGAGGGTGTCTTTAAGGGCCATTTTTTGCAGAGGGCAGCCCTGGGAATTTCAGAAGCACCTGACATGACAAGAGCTCATGGGCCCTGGACTCTCAGTGGGGTTTGTGCTACTGAACTGCCCGTGTTGCCAGTTCTTTGGTGCCTATGTGAAAGCTCCAGCCCATGGAGTCATGTTATTTCATGAGACACTCAGCTTTCCTGTTTAAAAGTTAAATGGGCCGAGAACAGTTTGGGGACCATGACCCAGGTGCACTCCGAAGGCTCAGAAAACAGAAGGCAAATCAAAATGAAACCCAGAGGGCAGATTTTTTTACACTGTCTCATGACTTTGAGCACAGTCTGGGGATTGAACACTTGGGACTGGTGATACTCCAGCACCCTGGTGCTTTGGAAAATCCCCACCGGGCTGCTCGTGCTTTCTGAAAGCCACTTTCAAAGTGTCTCAGGTTGGGACCCAATAACTGAGGTGCCCAGAATCACTGGTCAGTCACTTTGGAAAAGGTGACCTTGGATGCCAGCTTCTCCATCCATATTTACCTAGGTTGTCAGTCCTGTGGGGCAGAGGAGCATCGTTCTGTTCTGCGCTGTCCAGCCCCCAGCACTTGGGGTCACGACTGGGCCCTTCCACAATATGAATCATTCAGAATAACAACATTTAGTCCTCTACACGTGTGGCCAGGGTGTTCTGAAAGGGAATGAGCCCTTCCAGCCATGCTCCTGGCTTCCTGGTGAGATGTCACCCCACACGCTGGGCCCTCACCACTTGTGGAAAGCAAGCCTCTCATTTAGATGCCTGAAGGTGGGTTTAGGGGCCTAGCCTTGGGCACCTGCTTTTTAAAAATCTTGCTTTGAAGACCTGAGTAGAGTTAACAACAGCCCTGTCTGGGCTCTCCCGGTTTCAGAGCAGCTCCCGTGCAATAGCTGAGGGCCTGAACAATGTGCTTGAAAGCTCCAGCCCTTTCCCCTAGCGATGGACGTTGCTGCACCGCAGCCAACGTGGCTCTGCCTGCTTGCCCCTGCTGCACTGCTAGCCCGGCCAAGGGTTTTGAAAATACTTCATTCTAGAGCAGTTTAATTCCTAACATTTTGTGTCCCCAGTGACCTGAACAATGTAGACAAATATATTTAGGACTTGATGCAAGAGGCTTCTCCTCTGCAACTCCTGTCGTCCATGGCCACTTTCTGCCATCTCTCTGCCTCATCTGCCTTCTGTCTTGCTTCCTGTTTCGTGTGAAAATGCATCATGTCTCCGTCCTCCCTTTCCCTCTTTGGCTGATTAATTGGGTCAGGTGGTTTGGGATTTTGCACAGAAGCAGAGTCTAGTTGCTAGGGGCACTGGGCAGTCAGGGTGCCTGGGTTCCGTCCCCCGCTCTGCTACTGGCCTGCTGCAGTGACCTGGAGCAAGCCACTTTCCTCTCTAGCCTTCTACCCCTCCCACCCTTTGGCATATTTCAATGGGAAGCTCTTTGGGGCAGGGAGTGTTGGTTACTCTGTGAGGGTGCGTCTAGACAGCAGTGCTACTTCAGGATACTTCCGGTATCCTGAAATCACTATTCTGCATCTTTTAAGCAAGCCTGTTATTTCAAAATAGCTTTCGAAATAAGGGGCTTGCCATTCCAACGTCCCTGTAAACCTTGTTCCACGAGGAATAAGGGACGTTTCAGAGCAGCTCTTTATTTCGAAACAAGTGCTGTGTCAACAGCTCCAAATTACAAACTAAGCTATTACAGGACAAGGAGTAATGGGTTTAAAGTGCGGGGAGGTTTAGATTGGACATTAGGAAAAAATTCCTAACTGTCAGGGTGGTCAAATATTGGAATAAATTGCCAAGGGAGGTGGTGGAATCTCCCTCTCTGGAGATATTTAAGAACAGGTTAGATAGACATCTGTCAGGGATGGTGTAGACGGAGCTTGGTCCTGCCTTGAGGGCGGGGGGCTGGACTCGATGACCTCTTGAGGTCCCTTCCAGTCCTATGATTCTATGATTCTATGAAATTAACTCAAAGTAAGCTATGCAATTTCCACAGCTCCAATTGCGTCGCTTATTTGAGCTACAGGTGCAGTGTAGACGCACCCTGACTGTACAGCCTCTAGCACAGGGAGACTCTGATCTCACCCATCACCTCCAGGTGCTACAGCAATATAAACCATACAGGGGAAAGCTCTGAAAGGTGCCGAGGAGGCACCCTCTGGGGAGGAAATTTACCTTCCGGTCTGTCTGTGGGCAAGATGCAGCTACTTCCCTGTGGCACCATCCTCTTCCTTGTGGGGTGCAAGCCAACCTCCATCAAACCCAATGGAAAGATTTCAGTGGGTTTTGGTAGCTCGTGGATCCCACCCCCGGGGGCCAGGTGGCACAGTCAGCGTAGCTCTTGACTGATTGCTGAGTGTGTCCCTATCTGAATGGGGTGTGAGGCACTGAACTGGCAGGCAGAGGGCTGGAGAGATGCAGAAATTCTTGCACAGGTGGGATCGACAGACAGTTCTTTAGCCTGCATACTAGAGAGATTGCCCTGCACCCTGGCCGTACCTCTTGGGAAATACTGACACGGTGCAGACCTGCAGGCAGCGCACCATGTAGCACCGTGCAAGGAGCAGCTAAGCCCCGAGTAAGAAAAGCTCTTAGGCACATGCTGTGGGGTCTGGGACTGGGCGCATGCTTCCAGTGAATCGTGCGCTGTGCTGAACACAGTTGGACGTAAAGTTAACGTTAAGATCTGTTCTCGATTTGTGGTGATTCTTTAAGAACAGCTCTCCTGGGTCAAACCAATGGTCCATCCCCCCAGTGTCCTGTCTTCCAACAGTGGCCAATGCCAGGTGCCCCAGAGGGAATGAACAGAACAGGGCGATTATCTAGTGATCCATCTGCTCGCATCCACTCCCAGCTTCTGGCAAACAGAGGTTAGGCACACCCAGAGCATGGGGTTGTGCCCTGCCCCGCTTTGCTTATAGCCATTAATGGACCTACCCTCCATCAACTCCTCTAATTTTAACTCAGTTCTAGTTTACCCTTCACACCATCCTATGGCAAGGAGTTCCACAGGCTGACTGTGTGCTGCGTGAAGAAATGCTTCCTTGTGTTTGTTTTAAAACTGCTACCTGTTACTTTTATTGGGTGACACCTGATACTTGTGTTATGAGGAACAAATAACACTTTCTTATTCACTTTCTCCACATGGGCCATGAATTTTATAGCCATGTCATATCCCCTCACTTAGTCATCTCTTTTCCAAGCGGAACAGTCCTACACTTTTTAATCTCTTCTCTTAAGAAAGTTGTTCCCTGCCCCAATCACTGTTGTTGTTCTTCTCTGTCTCTTTCCCGGTTCTAATAGATTTTTTTTTATACGGGGTGATCACAATTGCATGCAGTATTCAAGGAGTGGGCATATCAGGGATTTATATAAAAACAGGATGATATTGACTGTTTTATTATTTATCCCTTTCCTAATGGTTCTTAACATGCTGTTACCTTTTTTGCCTGTTGCTGCACATTGGTCAGATGTTTTCAGAGAACTATCCCCAATGACTCCAAGCTCTCTTTCTTGGGTAGGAATGGCTAATTTAGACCCCC